GGTTCAAATTCCTGCTCAAGGGCACCTGCCTCGGTTGCAGGTTTGAGCGCCAGACACAGGTTCAATCCCGGTCTTGAGGATGTGGGAGGCAACCAATCGATGTGTCTCTATCACACAGATATTTCTCTCTCTCCCTACCCCCTACCCCCTTCCTCCTTCCCTTCCACTCTGTCTCAAAATCAATGGGAAAAATATCCTTGGGTGAGGATTAAAACAATAATAATAACAATAATAATGATGATAAAATGCAGCCACGGAGCATACACACCTCTCAGAAGCGAGACAGGGCGGCCCCGAGACCTGAGTGGCCTTATGTATTGTTGGGGTCCGTTGGGTGTTCACAGCGGCTCCCTCTCTCCTGCCCACACGCTCCCTCTCGTCCCACCCCGTCCTCCTCACCCTCACCTTAGCCCGGCCTTGCCCCTTACCTGCCTTCTGCCTCTGAGATCTTGTTCACATCAGTGGGCGCTCATAATCCACACTTGCCCGTGAATGGAGGCGGGAGGCTGGTTACCGGGGTTTTCACGATATCGGCGTCCGTAGGAGGCTTGCGGGATGGTGAGCACTTAGCCCGCAGGGAGGCCTTCGCAGAGTTGGCTCTGTGACGAGGACACTCTTCAGTGCTTTCCTGGCAGCCCGACCTCGGCATCAGAACAGGGGTGGCTGGCATTGACGTGGGCGTTAGCATTTAAATGGCTAAAACCTGAATGAGCCCCCCCCCCCCCCACACACACACACACCTGCAGGGATGGCCTTTCTCCCCACTCCGGAAGAAGTTAATGACATTTACGGGCCTGGATGAGCTCTGAAGCTTCATATTTCTGATTTTAATAGCATGTATTCATTTAATGGCAGAAGCCACGATCAAAATCCAGGGAAGAGCGAATGAATAGGAAATCGATAAGGGTGTGTGTGTGTGTGTGTGTGTGTGTGTGTGTGTGTGCTGCGAGCACACATGCTTTTCCAGGCCTCAGGGCCTCATCTGCAAAATAAGATTTACACGGGAGGACACCTGTTTCCTTCAGGGATCGGATGGGCTGTCGCGGGAAGGAAGCGGTGGGTGGGCCTTAGAGAAAGGTCACTTCAGGGAGAGTGCATTTTCCCTTCAGGCAGAGGCCGGTGCTGCGGGGGTGCTGTAAGGGAATTGGTGCGGGGGTAGGGGGTTTGGACTAGGTGGCCTGTGATTCCTTCGATTCTGATTCCGTGGGAGTGGAGAGTGGGTCCTGCTTTTATGCCCTGAGGCCGTATGAACATTCTAGCCGCCAGCCAGCCCCACCCCTTGCTGCAAAGCCCTCATCCTCGGGAACGTGACGTTTAGATGTGCAATCCTTTCTAGATGACCGATGCCTTCACTGGCATCAGCCCATGTGCTCTTTCTTCTCAGCGGCCACGCGGGATGGTTGGTGTTGTCTCCGCATCACAGGCCAGGAGAGGGGACACGGCTGAAGCAGGGTCCGGCCTGGAAGGCAGCCCTCGGTGCTGTTTCTACTTTGCACCACGGATGCCTCCTCTTAGCGAGGCTTGGTTTTCAGGAGGCTGAGCGTTGGCAGGAAACACTGCATGAAAAACAGAGAGTAGCATAGCTTTCTGGTCTAGGTCCCTAAGGAAAGCTATGCCGAGGCCCGTCCTGGCCCACTTCCTGTGATGGTACCTTCGTGGTGGGTCCTTGGTGGAGAGGGCGGGGCAGCCACACACAAGGGACGCACGGCTTGGCCTCCCCAACATACTTGGACATGGAAGTTCGCGGTGCTGCCAGTACTGAGTGTGGGCGCCCTCCCGCTCCACCTCGTGGTTACCTGTTGGCAGTTCCTCTTCTCTGCCCCTGCCCTGTCCTCCCAGGGCCAAGCAGGTGATTGGTTATAGGTTGCGGGCCACTGGGGCGATCTAGCCGGCCTAGGGTAGACGGGTGGGTGGAAGGAAGAGGAGAAATCAGCGTTAACTCACGTCTGCAGCAGCTTCTCCCACGTGCGCTCTGCCCCGTGCGGGTGTCGCTCTGACCTGTGGAGTAGGAGAGCCCAGCGTCCCTCACACGGGGCCAGTGGTTCTCAACCTTCCTGATGCCGCGACCCTTTAATACAGTTCCTCATGTTGTGGTGACCCCCAATTTCATTGTTACAAATTGAACATAATTAAAGCATAGTGATTAATCACAAAAACAATCTGTAATTATATATGTGTTTTCCGATGGTCTTAGGCAACCCCTGTGAAAGGGTCATTTGACCCCCAAAGGGGTCGCGACCCACAGGTTGAGAACCGCTGCACAGGGCCATGAGGCCCGGGGACACTGCCCTCGGACCCGGGGAACCTGAAGCCATACGGTGCTCTTCCTCCCCTTAGCTCTGCGGCCATCGGTAAATGTCTAGACCAGCCGTGGGCAAACTACAGCCCGCGGGCCGGATCCGGCCCATTTGAAATGAATAAAACTAAAAAAAAAAAGACCGTACCCTTTTTATGTAATGATGTTTACTTTGAATTTATATTTAGTTCACACAAACACTCCATCCATGCTTTTGTTCCGGGCCCTCCGGTCCCAGTTTAAGAACCCATTGTGGCCCTCGAGTCAAAAAGTTTGCCCACCCCTGGGCTAGACCATTTTGAGGTTCCCAGTTTCCTCTTCCATAAACTGGAAAGTTCCGTGTGGCCGAAACAAATCCCAGTAATAACTTACTCCTTTCTCAGCTACTGGCTGGATGGGTTATGGCTAATGGCACAGCCCGGGCGGGGCACGACCATAGGACTTGGTTTCCTCTCGAATCCTGGAGACAGAGGTGTGGAACTGGTAGCTTCTGTGCGGTTACCCCTGGGTGCTGTGGTTTACCTGCTTCAGAAGAGGACCTGCTCATTCAACGAAGACGCTTTGCATTAATCTTCCCCCCCTTTTTTTCAGTATCCAGCGAGCAGCACTGGTGGTTCTGGAAAATTACTATAAGGATTTCACCATCTATAACCCCAACCTCCTAACAGCCTCCAAATTCCGAGCAGCCAAGCACATGGCGGGGCTGAAAGTCTACAACGTGGATGGTACGTGCCTGGAACGGTGGCTCTGGGGGTGTCGGGGGGGCAGTTGGGGCAACTTCCTGGCCCATCTGGTTCAACCTCCTCTCGGTGTTTGCCTTTGTGGTCCATTCTCATTTCAAAACAACCTCTCTCTCTCTCTCTCTCTCTCTCTCCCCCCCCTCTCTCCCCCAAACATTTTCTGAGGAATGTTGCTTTATGGTCTACATCTGTGGGAAGTTCATTCATTTTGGGATTTTTATGATTGAAAACAATGGTGATGTGTGTGTTTCCTGTCTCCTGCTGGGAACATCTTCCAGTAAATAAAGCTATTAGGAAAGGGCTGCTTTTCAAAATGTGGATAAAGCACCCAAAGCAAAGACTCAGCCACCCAAACCCGTAAAGACTCTATAACTGTCAGTAGTTCAGGCCTCTGGCGAGACACTTACAGGCATTCCTCAGCCCTGGCCAGAAGCCGGAGCGAGCGGGTGGCGGAGGCCAGAGGCCAGGCTGAGACGCCAGAGCGAGCTCCTCCGGGCTATCAGATGCTTCAGCGCAAGAAACAGGACACGGTGTCATGTCTTGCTGGGCCGCTCGGGTCAGGGCAAGAGCTTTGCAAACCCTCCAAGAGGATCATGTTGTTAGCAAGTCAAGTGATTTATAGGTGGTGTCAGTTTCGGTGGTGATGTAACATCCTCTGCCTTTTTAAATGGTGCTTTATTATTATTTTTGGCTAATGAGATGTGCACGCTCTCACGAATCCTGAAGGATCGGTCCCTTTCGCCTGTGACCTGAAAACAGCGAAAATTCCCACTAGCAAAACTAGTCATCGACCACGTAGGTGAAACACGAGAAAGCGTGAGGTGCCTTGTCTTCCTGACAAGTCGAGGCGGCCAGTGGTCAGAGGAGCGAGACCAGGACTTCTGAGTCCGGAGGAACACGGGGGCCGTTTCGCAAATCCTCAAGCATCACGTCTTTTCTGTGAAAGCTGTGCTGCCGTGAGATCCCAGCAGGGCCGTGTTCCTGTGTGTGGTCGGTGTCACTTGTCCCTGGACTTCACTCTCTCTCTGTCCTGTCCTCCCCTCCCTCTCTCTCTCCCTCCTTGTCCTGTTGCTGAACTGTGACGTTACGGCCGCCCTCGCGGCCAAGCGGGCCGTCCTGTAACAGATGGTAAGTAACATCTTCACACTCTGTGTTACTCTTGGCCATCATCTTAATTGCCTCGCGTTCTTCATCTCCTTCCGAGTGCCTTTTCCCTTTGCAACGAGCAGATTGGGCCTCGGGAGGTTCCTTCCCCTCGTGAGCAGAGTGGAGAGAAGCGGGGGGACTGTCCCCCCTCATGGGGAGTCGCTTTGGGGATCTGTGTCTGTGCTTCACGGGGGATGGTGGGCGGTCCCGACAGACTGTGGTACCAGAGTTCTGCTCCGTTTTGCAGACCCGTGGCATTAAAACTGTGTTTCCTGCACCATCTTTTCCCCAAAGGCCCCAGTAACAACGCCACTGGCCAGTCCCGGGCCATGATCGCCGCCGCCGCTCGGCGCAGGGACTCGAGCCACAACGAGCTGTATTACGAGGAGGCGGAACACGAGCGGCGGGTGAAGAAGCGGAGAGCGAGGTACAGTGTCCCCCTGAGTGAAATTTCACTCTGAACATGACCTGCGTGAGCCTCGGGGGTGATCGTGCCGGGGTGTTTCTCAAACTTCTCATGCATAAGCATCACCTGGGGCTCATAGCACAGGCCTCGGGGCCCCACCCACGTAGTCACTTACTATTCAGCAGCTCTGGGCCCAAGAAACTGGCATTTCTTACCAGTTCCCCAGCCCGATGCTGGCCCCACGGCCGGCACTTTCGAGGGGGCCCCATCCCTGCACCCCCGGCCCCCCGCTATTTTCTCTTAGACCTTGATCCTTATGAACTTGAGAGGGGAAAAAAGGTGGGCCCCACCTGGTGTGGTGCGGGGCCCTCTTTCCTTCTTTTCCCCGGGGAACTGCTTGCGGGGGGGGGGGGATCAAACGGGGAATCAAGCCCCAG